GGTCACCTGGGGAGCTTTTAACACGACTGATGCCCAAACCCTACCCTCAGGGATTCTGGTGTGGTTGGTCTGGCGTACGGCCTGGACAAGAAGATTGCAAACATTTCCCCTGTGATTCTAATCTGCAGGCTAATCTGAGGACTGATGGGATAGCTATCTGGTTTCTACACATTCCACAAGAGGACAATTCAACCCTTTTCCCAGATAGGGAAGTAGGACAAAGTACAAATAATCCCAAATATGCACATACACAGATTCCTAAATTTTGCTGTTCAGGTTTTTTACAGGTCTTATGTGCAAAACGAGGCTGCTGTGGGAAGTAAACAAATATACGTATGTAGCACCATCCTCAAAATCCCCCATGAGGGTGGACTGTTTATTTCTCATCGTAGTTTTGCCAATGTTTGAAGTACATTTTGGGGCATTTTTATCTGGTGCTTATAAATTTAAAATGATCTCTTCTAGGTAAATGAATCCTTTATCAAAATGGATTTATTTATTTTCCCTAGTAATGCTTTTCATCTGGGTGCCTATTTTTTTCTCCTGATAATACAGCTATACTGGCTAGCTTTCTTTTGCTCAATAGTTAATTACATGGTATGTCTATTTTTTTTAATCCTTTCACCTTCAAAATTTCTTATGTTTTAGATGAACTCTAGAATGAAATATAGCTGGATTTTTAAAAATCTACTCTGACAGTCTTGCTGCAGGTGCTCTTTAGAGTATTTAGTCCATTTATAGTTAATGTAATTACTGATCTATATTGGTGGTATAATAAGCATCTAACAATTCACAGGGTACTTTATGCAGGTTGCAATTCTCACAATTGACCATAAGAGGGCAGCTCTTGGGGACTCGTAGGCATTTACGGCCATGAAGGGACAGAGGGAACCCAGACCCTGCTCTCTGGGGTCCCCATCACTGCTTCCGAGGGTGTGTCTCCCTGACAACTGTGGGTATCCTTTGTCAACTTGTATAGAAAAGTTTCAATATTTTCATAACTAGTACTGCTTGCTTTACAAGCCACTCACAATAATAGGGGCTTGCTGATATACGAGGGAGGACCTGCCCCCTAAAAAACAGAATTATCCTCTGGAGGGCAGGCCCCTTGTCTTCCCCAGCTACGTGAGTGTTCTAGGAACCCATCTGTAGCAGTGTACCAGCTGGTGGTGTTGTGAGAGGCTGCGTTCAGCTTCAGTGAGGTTTTTTTTTTTTTGGAGACTCTTTCAACATGTTTGCCCGTTTTATGATGGGTGATTTATGAGTGCCCTGTCCACGCCGTGCTGTTTAACAGTTTTTGACTAAAAAAAAGGCATGACCCCATACCCCACCTCCTCATTTACCCAATCATGCCTCAAAGAGACTTTTTTTTATTTGTTTACTTCCCCTGATGAAAAAAGTCCTCAAAGGGAACCGTTTGCCATTATGGAAGAGGTAAAACAAAAAATGGCAGAAACACTAGAAGGCATCAGAATCGATGAGTTTACAAACTGTTCTGAGCAGGGGAAAAAACATCTAAATAAGTGTATTGCATCAAATGGAGAGTACTTTGACAGTGACTGAAGTTTAAACATATAAGAATAATACACATTTTTATACATAAATTCCATTTTTGGGGGTCCCCCCTCATATCTGGGTTTAAGTCCATCATCTTATTTATAACACTTAGTGTTGTATTTCTCTCCTTTCATGACTTCTTTTATTATTTATTTTCCTCTCTCACATCCTTTAAGTACTACATTCTGTTTCTCTTTTTTCCAGTAATTACCTAGAAATTACATGATTTATTTTGACATTTCAAAGCCTGTTTTCTTTTAATCCTCACCCGGGGATATGTTTATTGATTTTGAGAGATAGAGACAGAGAAGGAGAAACATTGATGTGAGAGAAACATCAATCAGGTACCTCCTGTACTCACCCCAACCAGGGCTTGAACCCACAATGTGTCCTGACTGGGGATCGAACCTGTGACTTTTTGGCATACAGGATGATGCTCCAACCAACTGAACCACCCAGCCAGGGCCAAAACCTCTTTTTAATCAATACACCTTCTTTCTTCCCTGGCAATATGAGAGCCTCAGAACACCGTAATTTACCCCAGCCTCTACTAACTTACTGTTTTAAATTTTAACCCCTCATATATTTGAATCCTTCAGAAGACATTGTTATTTTTATCATTTTTAAAGACAACGTTTATTAACATTTACCACATTCTTTGCTCTTTATTCTTCTTGCTGCTTTAAGTTATTCTGGGATGGTTTTCTTTTCACCCAAAGCATATATTTTACAATTTCCCTTACGGAAGGTCTTCTCTTTGTTGATATTTTTATTTTGCCTTCGTTCATAAGAGATGTTACCCTGAGGATGGAGTTATAGGTTGGCGAGCGTTTTCTTTCGGCCCATAAAGATGTCATTCCACCCCTGCTGCCTGGGAGCCGTCAGCCTGTTAGTCCAATCAACGCCACCTGGTCTTTTTAAAGCCGGCTACTTTTTATTTTCCTTCATCTTTCTGCACTTACACTATTGTGCCTTCATGTCTTGGTGGGGTTTTTTTAAAGATTTTATTTATTTATTTTTTAGAGAGGGAAGGGAGGGAGATAGAGAGAGAGAGAGAAACATCAGTGTGTGGTTGCTGGGGGTCATGGCCTGCAACCCAGGCATGTGCCCTGACTGGGAATCAAATCTGCGATACTTTGGTTCACAGCCCACGCTCAATCCACAGAGCTATGCCAGCCAGGGCGTTTTTTTTTTTTTTTTTTAATTTATTCTCCTTTAAATCTTCTGAGCTTCTGTTTTTGGTGTTTTGATATCTTTCTGAAAGGTGCTGAGCCATCACTTCTTAAAACCCTGCCTCTGCTCTGTTCTCCTGTCACTCTCTGAGGCCCTGGTTAGGTCAGTGTTAGGTCTTCTCGTGAGATCTAACCACCTGGTCTAGAGTTCCAGTCTTTTCCTCTCTGTGTTTAACTCGGGGTAATTTCTTCCGCTCTGCCTTTCACTTTACTAACATGATATTTAATGTGCTGTTGAACACAATACGCCCAATAATTTGGGTTACTGTAGTTTTCACTTTTGGAAGTTCTATTTGTTCTTTTTTTAAAATTGGTTGTGTCACTTTTTATAGTTTCCTAGTGGCTGCAGAAGTCTTCAAACCAGATTTTTTCAACTTAATATGGATGATTTAAAACATTTTTTTATGATTTTATTTATTTTTATTTTTAGAGTGGGAAGGGAGGGAGAAAGAGAGAGAGAGAGAGAGAGAAATATCAATGTGCAGTTGCTGGGGGCTGTGGTCTGCAACCCAGACATGTGCCCTGACTGGGAATCGAACCTACGATGCTTTGGTTTGCAGCCCGCGCTCAACCCATTGATCTATGCCAGCCAGGATAATTTTTTAAAATTTTAAGAATCTGTGCCTGGTAGTTCCAATATCCGAGATATGAGGGTTTCTTTCTGCTGTCTATTGTTCCTGCTTCTTCTCATTCGTGGTGTCCGTGTCTGGTTATCTTTGACTATGTGCTAGCTATCATGCCAAAAAATCACTTGAATAATTATTTGAAGCCCAAGATGAAAGTGCCTTCCTCTACATAACAATGCTTTTATTTCTGGCATGTCTGGGATCACCATAAACCAAGTATAATACTCGGGGTTCCCTGGAAAACCAATAAAATTGCAATTCAAGCTGCAATTACTTGTGATGGTTCATTTACTTGGAATTCACATTCCCTTTGAAGGTGTAGTCCTTTGGGTCTCAGCTCATTGTGGGGAAGGTCTACCATTACATTCTTACCTTGAGTGGCCCTAGGTGTTGATTTCTGTCTTGCTTTCCCTGATAGTCTATCAAAACCAATGTTAAAATTTGCCAGACTTAGCAAATACTCTCAGGAAAAAGTAGCTTCTGTACTCATTTATCTTTTTGGGTTTCCATTTCCCCATCATTCTCTTCCTGGTAATTCTTTGTGGTGCCAACGCTTTGAAGGCTTTACAGATTATTATTATTATTCAAAACTAGTTCTGAAGTTGTTTTCAGTAGAAGAGTTAGTCCAAACAATCGAGTCCACCACTGTTGGAGATAGGAAGCCGTGTCATCTTTATTAGCACAAAGCTGGCACTCAGTAAATGATGGTGGCTGGATTCATTAAATATCACACTATCCCAGACCTATAGTTTTTTTTGCCTGTCTGCATTTACAAAGACTGCTTCCTACTCTTAGAATGCCCATATTCCACCATTTGGCAAGGCTCAGAATAAATGCCACCTCTTCCTCAAAGTTCTTCCTGTTTCCTCTACTTCTCCAAATCTAAAGCCTACTACTTCTCCATCTTAACCCTCATAAGACTTAGCTTATATCATCCCCTGGGTACTTAACTAGACAGAAATCTATTATAATACAAGTATTTATGTCTCCTGTGGATTTCTATTTTCTTGACATTTCTGATTATTTCAATAATTCCCTCACTTCCCCTCCAGCTCAGCCTACACTATAAACAGATATCTTAGAACATATCAAGTCCTGTACTTTTAGGTTTAATGTCCTGGGAGGGGATTTTCCAAACGTTCACTCGGCCATACTGCTAGAATCAGGATATAGCTCATTCTAGTACACCTTTACATTTGTGCTGCACTTTAGAATTAATAGGATGCCCTCACATATGTGCCTCCTACTTCAGTGTTGCCATCATCATGCTGTTGATGAGAATCAGGGGGCAAGAGACTGAGGGACACACCCAAACAGAGCCAAAAAAACCCAGAAATGGAACGCAGTCATTTCTCTCAAGCCCACAGCTCATGCCAGGACAGCTGGTTATGGCCCCATATTATTTGTGCCACTGGTCATTTCTATTGCAATGCCACCTCAAACTCTGGAAGCAGACACTCTACATGTGTAAGCACAGGTAGTTCGGGAGTGAGGCTGCGGGCACTAGACAGAGGGGTTGGCTATGCGAGGTATCCCACTCACACCTTTCTCAGGTGAAGGTTTGCTGCATCTCAGTGCTCCTTACCTCACAACCTTGGTCCCGTTTCTCACAACCTGCATGTCCACCATGCAGCCCCCAGTAACGTAGGCAGCTAGGTTCAACTCGGAGAATTCTGCCTGAAGGAGAAAGCAAAACAAAGGAGGATTTAGTAGATACTCATGATGCAGCAGAGAACTGCTAGCATTTATGGGGGACTTACATGTGCCAAGTACCCATTTATAGCTCACCTGAAACTCGGGAAGCTAGCAATATTATTTATTTCCCTTGTTGAAAGATGGGGAAGCTGAGGTGCAGAGAGGCATGTGATACGTCCAAGGTTACATAGTTCATAGAGGGCAAAGTTGGAATGAAACCCATGTGCCTCTGACTCAAAGGCCCATTTTTTAAACCTCTATTAATTAATTACTATTATCTATTGTATGAGAGTGGAAGAAGCAACTCTAGCTCCAGGACTAGAAGAGGCCAAATGCTGTTCAAAATAACATTTTCTCTAGAATTCTTCAGCTTTGGGCTGTGTTGTGGCATGGCCCCGCAGCTGTGTGACCATTTATCACTATTAATGGAACCCTCCTTAGGTTACCTGCCATCTGTTTCCTTTTTTGGTCATGACCTTTCCCCTCACTCCATCCACATGGTTACAGGAGAAGCACCATGTCTGTGCACTGAAATATTGTTCCCCTGATCACAGCTGATGGTGTGAGCCCCTGACCCAGGGTGGAAAAAAAGATGTCCTTGTACCAGAATTAGAATCTGCTGAGCAGTTCATGATGTTTCTTTCCAGGGGGCTGTATCTGTAAATCACAAACCTGAGTGCAACTAGGGACAATGTTTTCTGCCATCTGGATTGGGGAGGCAGAAAAGGACAGGGTGGTGGGAGAGAGGGTGAAAGACAGAGAGAAGGAAGGGGAAGGGGGAGGGGAGAGAGGGAGGGAGAGAGAGATCGGCCACAGTCCCCATAGACAGGCAGAGGCAAGAGATGGGTAGTACTCTTCATGTGATGTGCCAGCTACCATCTTGCCCTCAGATTTTATGAGATGCCTCTGTATCCTTATAAATTCATTTTTTTGTTTTATTATTTGTTTAAACAAGATTTAGTGGATTTCTGTTGCTTGCATCCATTGCCCTATGGAATACATGCCTCCTAGAAGATCATATGCTCCCTCTGGGTACAGAGACTTGTGTTAGGACCATGTGTGTGTTTCCTAGAGTTGCCATAACAAAGTACCACCACTAGGCAGCTTAAACAGCAGCACTTTCTTTTTCTCGGTTCTGGAGGTTAGAAGTCTAAAATCAAGGTGTCAGTAGGGTTGGCTCTTTCTGAGCGCTGTGAAGGTTTGTTCCAGGCTTATGTCCTTGGCTTGTAGATGACCACTTTCTTCCCATGTTCATTACCTTGCCTTCCCTCTATATGTGTCCATGTATCCAAGTTCCCCTTTTTATAAGGACACAAGTCATACTTGATGAGAACCAGCCACATGGCCTCATTTTAACTTGATTACCTGTGGGGAAAAAAACCCTATCTCCAAATAAGGTCATGTTCTGAGGTATTAGGGGTTAGAACTTCAACATATAAATATCAGGGAGATACAATGCAACCTGTAACCCCTTTCTAGAAAGTGCATAGTTCTAAACCATGCCTTTTACAGTAGATATTGAAAGCTATTTCTTTGGATTTGATGAATAAAAATAACTGCTCACATATGTACTACACTCACTGTATACCAGTTACTATCCTAAGCATGTTATATGTATGTATTCATTTAACCTTCACACTTGCCCAGATTATTAAAAAGAGAGAGAGAGGCAGAGAGAGATGAAATAGCTTTCACAGTGTCACACAGCAAGATGCACAGCCAGGATTTAGACCCAGGCAGTCTGGCTCCAGCCTGTGCTTTTAATTGCTACCCCACTGCCTCTGCTGTTTAGCTGAATAAGCCATTAGGTGGATTACAACTGAGCATTTTAGGGACCTCAAAATAACCCATTGAAAGAGAAAAACAAGTTTATGTTGAAGGAAAATGTCATTCCATGGTGATTTAAATGTATCCCCTCAGAAACATTTAACAGAAATTATGACCAAAGACCTAGCCATCTCCCCAGATGGCCTTAAAGCAAACCAAGAGTGCTTATGTCTCTCATTCTAATTAATAACCTCATTATGCTGTAGTAAGGTGAAAAGCAAAGAGCCCCGTTAATGAGTCCAAGTTAGTAAATAGTGGTAATGACCTAGTTATTAAGTCTAATGCCTTAAAAATGCAGTCCCATCATGTTTAAGATACTTTCTTGGCAAGATGACAAAGAGGCATTAGCAAGAAAAGTTGCTTGTGTTTGTGGAGCAAAAGAAGTCAGCAGAAAGGTGCAACACAGGATAGCTGGGCACCAAGTAGATCAAGAAAAGGGGCGAATCAGAAACTTGTATGATAGAAGTTTTGACTCAAAGGTGGCAAAGACCCGAGGGTTGTCTTACTGACCAAATGCAAAGAAAGATACCTGGATAGAAAACATACTCAGGCTTGGCGTACAAGTGAGAAGTTCATCTTGTTCAGATCGAGTATCTAGAGTTATTGATTTTTGAGTAATTACAGGAGATAAATGCCCGGGTTGTAGGGTAGCGAGCCTCTGTTGGGTCAAACACAGAGAGATGGGGAAGCAAAGGAGATGAGTTAGTACACTCATCTGTGTTAATTTTCTAAAAGCTTCAGCAACCGTGAAAAGAGACACAGGACCCAAGCCACTTTTCCTTCAAGAACAGGATAGAAGCTCAAAGAGCAGCCACTTTTGAAGATTTTCAGAGCTCTCAAAGAAACTATAGTGGGTTGAACTGTATCCTCCCCCAAGTAGGTCCACAGCCTAACTGATGATACCTTCATTGGACCTTCATTGGAAATAGTCTTTGCGGATGTAATTAAGGATCTCAAGATGAACCATCTGGGATTAAGGTGGACCCTAAATTCAATGACAAGTCCTTATAAAAGAGGAAGAAGGGAGAGACCGACCCAGGACAGAAGGCCATGGCTGTGTGGTGACGGAGGAGAGACAGGAGTCACACTGCCATAAGCCAAGGAACTCCAGGACTTCCTAGAATCTGGAAGAGGCAAGGAAGAATTCCCCACCTAGAGCCTTCAGAGGGAGTGCCGACCAGCTGGCTGGCACCTTGATTCCAGACTTCTAGCCTCCAGAACTGTGAGAGGATAAATTTGTGTTGTTTTAAGCCACCAAGTTTGTAGTAATTTGTTATGACAGTCCTAGAAAACGAATACCGTAATTTTGGAAATTAAATGCAATTTCAGTATTGCATGCAAAGGCACCAGAGTTCAAAAAGGCCAATGTGGTTAGGTAAGGCTCCTTTATGTCCTTCACCTAACACACACATAAGCCTGTCCTGAAAACATCCAGTTGTTGTTAATATAACAAGAACGGTTTGCACGACATGGGTGTAACCTGGCAGCCAATGAGAGTGAACTGGAATGAACATGTGTGAACAATGACGACTTCACTGTACTAGTTAGTGGCGGTGGTAGACACCATTGCATGAGCATGTGGACTGTGTGGCCGTCACACTCAAAATGACTGAGTGAGTAGAACACAAATCTGCATCAAATTTTGCATTAAGCTTGAACATTCCTCTGTGGAAACCATTTGGATGATTGAGAAGGCTCTCAGGGACAACGCAATGAGTGCAGCACAAGTAAAAGTGTGGCACAAACACTTCAAAGATGGTTGAGAACCTGTCAAAAGTGATCTATGTTCTGGAAGGCCTGCAACAAGCAGAACACCTGAGAATGTTGCATGTGTATGGGCTGCAATCCACAAAGATCAGTGACTGACAGTGCAAGACCTAGAAGCTGATCTGGGGATTCCAAAAACTAGTGTCTGAGATTTTGACACAGGATCTTGGCATGAAACATGTCATTGGAAAAATTTGTTCCATGGCTTCTGCTACCAGAACAGAAGGCACATTGTGCTGCAGTTGCTAATGACTTGATTCAAACCACTACCAATGAACCAGATTTCCTCAAGAAGGTCATACTTGAAGATGAATCATGGGTCGATGGATATGATCTGGAAATGAAGGCCCAGTTGTCCCAGTGGAAGTTGCTTGGCTCTCTGTGCCTGAAGATAGCACAGCAAAGTCACAGCAAGGTCAAGACCATGTTAACTGTGTTTTTTGATTGGGAAGGTGTTGTCCATCATGAGTATGCTCCTCCAGGCCAAACAATTAATAACGAGTACTACCTCAATGTTCTTCGTGGGTTGAGAAATGGGATATGATGAAATCGGACACAGCTATGGGCAACTGGTGATTGGGAGCTTCATCATGACAACAAGCCCACTCATGCATCATGTCTCATGCAGTTTTTTGGCAGGACATCGAATCACCCAGGCAACTTATAGCCCAGATTTGGTGCCCTGCAACTTCTGGCTTTCTCCCAAACTAGAATCACCTTTGAAATGGAAGAGATTTCAGACCACTGATGAGATTGAAGAAAATGTGACAGGGCAGCTGATAGAGATTCCAACATAGGATTTTACGGAGTGTTTTGCACAGTGGAAGAGAAGCTGGGAGAAATGTGTGAGGTCCTACTTCAAAGTAGTTTGAAGGGGACTGAAGCATCATTGCCCTGTGTACAATGTTTCTTGCATCTTGTATCTTTTTCAATAAATGTCTCTATCTTTCACGTTACATGGTACTTTCTGGACAGACCTTCATATGTTCATATATTTGCACATTCTCTCTCTCTCTCTCTCTCTCTCTCCCCCCTCTCTCTCACATACACACACACACACACACACACACAGTAAAACATCAGCCATTCACTAATATTGTAAAACACCATCATCAGAGGCACTTCAGTTTTCTGTATAACTTAACCTTTGATCTCAAAAACATATAGGCCCCAACTGTTTTCTTATGTGTTAATACTACACATTAAGCATTGTGGTGTGGATAAAAGAACATTCAGAAAGACTATATCAGCTGTAAGCTGGGCAATATATTAGCTGATGAGTTTGATCAAGTTACTAACTGCTTTGAATCTTAGGTTTGACATCTTTAAAATGGAGATAATAATATCAATAATATCTATCTTTAAAAGTTTTAGTAAATTTTCATTTA